TTTTGTATATATATAAAATATAAAATTTAACTCAGGCATAAAATATTCATGTTAATTAAAAATTTTTTGCACATTTTAAAATATGTAAATAACATACCATATATAAATAATAGCTAAAAACTGTGATTCATTTCGTCTTATACACTCCTGTCGAAGGGTTTACGATACCCGAAAGCTCGAGATATCATTTGTGAAATAAAGAAACTTATCCTCGGAGTTTTCATGTGTTACTGCAACTTATACATCAGAGGATTCTATCTTACGATTTTACTGTATATGTATATAATTTTCAGCAAAACTATGAGTGCAATATAAGAATTTATAATGTTAATGGAAGCAAGCTTCACCAAGGCAGAACTTTAGAGGCTGTGCCAAATGAAGGTCTGCCATCTCATCATAAATCCTGTAAGGTCTTTGATGACATTGTGTTTATTAGTGTCACAGTGAGGACAGTTAGGGAGGAACCTTCTGTGTTGGATCAATTCTTTGGAGCTAAACTCAACCAGAGAAGAATAGGGAGGGTCAGCTGATTAAACCGTTTGGTTTTCGACCACTACGACCCGGGTTCGATTCCCGCATTGGACACTTTTTTTCTGTTTAAAAATAATGCTCCAATGACCCCCGATTCTTGCAAAAGTCCAACCCCACCAGCGAGTGCAAGTAACCAAACGGGGCTCTGGCACATTTGTAAGTGTAAAGTCGAACTGCTTTTCACATGTGTAGACATGTGGTGCACTTACAGTAAAAGCAATCGTCAAACCTCTACCCACCATGATTATCATGGCCTGTACCATGTGTACTAGGGATAAGCAAAAAATATATATATACAAATGGGGAAATTGTCTATAATTGAAAACTAATACCAATTCAAATGTAAGATGTCCATTTTCAGCTTGTCACAGATTAGCCCTGTGGAAGATATTTGCCAAGACACTTTGTTAAGTATATCTGGACTTATTGCATCAACTTCAGCAATGGTATTGTTCTTTATCTTGGATGGTTTTGTTTTTAAAAGATCTTGTAACCCAACTAATCAATCTTGAAAGTGGTTCATCTCTCCTCGTTTATTGACTGGTATATTTTATCTTTTAAAGTGGTATTCAGCATGTTGGAGGAATTGTTTAACAAAATTAAATTCTATGAATTTATCTTCTCGTCTAACTCCGCCTTTGCCGGTCCCAAGCCCAGATGAAAAAGGAGGAGGGAGAGCAGTAACAAGCTCACTAAAAAACCTGGGTTCAGCTGGCCCGACTGATAGTACCCTGTAAGGGCTCCTGATCCAGGGATGCAGGATGAGCAGCGTTTGTACTCCATGTTAGGAGTGGCTGCACATGGCGTCTGTTCCTCATGTGAGAGTCGGCCATTTCTTTTGGAGCTAAGTCGGCCTGCCACTGAGTAGTTCCCTCAGTCTTAATGACAAAGGCAGATGCATTATACTTCACCCAATCATGATGGTTGTCAACTTTAAAAGCATGATACCGTAATATGATTGAGTGGAGATAAGAAAGAAGATCTTGTTGTTGTTGTTGCAAGTTTCTACCCTCTTGAATCTTGTAGAATCTTCCTATTTGAGTCTGAATCAAACTATTTTTAATTCAATAAGGCAATAACACAAGGTAATAAGACCAAATCCAAATAAATAAATAGAAATTTGGATTTGGCCTCTTCTTTCTTATCTTCATCATGATTGGGTGAAGTAGAATGCCTTTGTCATCAAGACTGGGAGTACTACTCAGTGGCAGTGGGATTTGGTCTTATTACCTTGTATTTTTAATTCAGGAAAAATAAAATCCACTGCGATTACATATAAATAATATAATATAATAACAAGATTTAGAACAGGCCATCTCAAACCATTGAAGATAGAAAATAATAACAAAATCTACCCCACTTGCCCAAAATATAGTTTGGTACCTGCAGCTCCAGAACTCATTTTGGATTGCATTAGATGCACTAAACAGGACCTTTGGGAGAGGCCGCTGCTCATCATAAAACAGCTTGAGGAGTATGAACTCATGGAATTCGTGTAATCTTTACACAAGTGGATAAGAAACAACAACAACAACATATAAATAATAAACTAAATGATTTTTCAAAGGAGGAATGAGTTTCTTGTTTTATTTTTATTTTCTTCTCAAGATTTTGGGTATCACAAACCCTTATAATGGAGTATATGATAAAATTCTTATCTTTAATCTTATCTTGTACTCCTATATAGAAGGGTTTGTGTTATCCGAAATGCTTGAGAAGAATATAAAATTAAACACAAGGTAATAAGACCAAATCCAAATAAATAACTAGTGTGTGACGTTTCGGTAACAGCGTTGTTACCATCTTCAGACAAAAGTACTGAATGAGAAATTTTACCACAGCATGTTTTTAAATAGTTATAATTTCTCATTCAGTACTTTTGTCTGAAGATGGTAACAACACTGTTACCGAAACGTCACACGCTATTTATTTATTTGGATTTGGTCTTATTACTTTGTGTTTATAATCTATAATCCAAATTGTGCCTTATCAATATAAAATTAAGAAACTTTTTTTTTTTTGCTTATCCCTAGTACACGTGGTACAGGCCATGATAATCATGGTGGGTAGTTATAGCGACTGCTTTTACTGTAAGCGCACCACATGTCTACCACATGTGAAAAGCAGTTCGACTTTGCGCATACAAATGTGCCAGAGCCCCGTTTGGTTATTTGCACTCGCTGTTTTGTTTATTATTTACAATCTTCAATTATTTCATTATAGAGAGAATTTTATGCACATTTTGAAATGTACCTTTCTTCTCTCTTTCTTGCAGGCAACAGTACAACTTAAAACAAGGTAATAAGACCAAATCCAATAGTGTGTGACGTTTCGGTAACAACACTGTTACCATCTTCAGACAAAAGTACTGAATGAGAAATTTTACCACAGCATGTTTTAAATAGTTACTGTTATCAAGTGTGTAAACAAGATAACAGATAAGAAGAAGATATTTATCTTCAGTACTTTTGTCTGAAGATGGTAACAACGCTGTTACCAAAACGTCACACACTATTTATTTATTTGGATTTGGTCTTATTACCTTGTGTTTATAATCTATAATCTAAATTGTGCCTTATCAACAGTACAACTTGTCTAAGTTGTTTGTCCATGAGTGTGTTATAATAAAAAAATGTAAATATCTTTTACTTTTTAAACATTCCTTTGATTTGCAGATTCCGTAGTGAATCCATGCACATTATAATAGGACACTCATGCTAGAAAACACCTCTCTATAAAGGACAGTTTTCATTTGCAAAATTAGCTTTTTTTTTACTATTTAGCAACTCTCTGGTAAGAGGACACCTCTCCCTAAAGAACACTTTGGCTCTGCAATTAGATGTCCTTTACAGGGAGGTAGTTCTACTGTATAAGACTTAATAAAGGATTTTGTGTGCAACTGAATGTTGTGGATAGTGGAGCATCATCTCTTAACCACACACAGTGAAATATTTTTTTTCTTATCCTTAGTACACGTGGTACAGGCCATGATAATCATGGTGGGTAGAAGTAGGCGACTGCTTTTACTGTAAATGCACCACATGTCTACACATGTGAAAAGCAGTTCGACTTTGCACTTATAAAACACTGAATTCTAGTTATAGCAGCTACTCCCTTATAATATCTTAATTCTAAGGCCCCAGGCTTTCTATCTGGTTATAACATCATGATAAGGTACACTTTGAAGTATTGATTTGAGTCAAATCAGATAACAAGAGCACAAATCCAAATTATTAAAATATTTATGATATTTTGGTAACAGATTTGTTACCATCATCAGACAAAGTACTGAAATAGTGTGTGAACACTATTTATTTATTTGGATTTGGTCTTGTTACCTTATGTTTCTCCAAATGGGGCTCTGGCACATTTGTAAGTGCAAAAGTCGAACTGCTTTTCACATTGGGTAGGCATGTGATGCACTTACAGTAAAAGCAGTGACCCAACTTCTACCCAACATGATTATCATGGCCTGTACCACGTGTACTAGGGATAATAATAATTTTAAAAAACCCTTATGTTTCTAATCGATAATCCAAATTGTACATACCTCGTTATTTGTGACTATGTATATTGAAGTTTGACCATTGGTCCAGAATGGAGGGCGAAGACGGACTCCTGGAGGAGTGTTTTTCTTCCTCCTCAAGTCCAGTCCTGCCATCTCCAGCGAGAAGAAGAAACATGTCTTTGAACTTGAAGATGCCATCTTTGAGAAGAAGAATATGAAGAAATGGGGCCACAGCAGGAAGAACAAGAAGGGTGAGTTCACAAGTGAGATGACAAGTGCACAAACAGGGGCTGTTCTGTCATCCTATCTACACCATTCTTTTAGATGGAAAATTTGCCTGGAGGAAATTCATCTGAAAAGTATAGGGCTCCAGTCCAGTCAAATTAAACTTAAAAAAACTTAGACATCATATATTTTGACTGGAGAAGAGCCCTATGCTTTTTATATCAATATCCTCCCGGCAAAATTTCCTATCTCTATTTTGGCCTTAGATTTGTCCCAGCCACTTTGCCAGCTAAATATCTCTTTGGCAGATTGTGAAGATTCCATTTGATCCCGTGTGGAACTCATAGAATAAAGTCCGTCCTAGGTTGTCAAGGGCCATTATCCTGAAACCATGGTCTCTAGGTGGACGCTTTACAGTTTGCCAAAGCTGGTGTTGTGGCTTTGTCCCCGATGGTTGCGGTAATGGTTAATAGATGTGACACCTAGTTTTGACGTTTATTTTGATGGGAGAGGAGCTGTATGCTTTTAGAGATACACCATTCCTCTTACTAAGGAAGGACAGATTGAGGTCCTAGTTGACTGGAGATGTTCTGTACTGAATGGTTTCTCCCGGAGGTGATCTCTCACTAGAGGTTTTGCAAAGGTGGTTAGCTCTCTCAACAGATTGGTCTTCCACAGGAGGTTTACATGTCTTGAGGAGGTTTGCCTCTTTAAGGTGTTGTTTCTTCCTCCTCAAGTCCAGTCCTGCCATCTCCAGCGAGTGGTCATGGCATCTGCCCGGTAAGCGGAAGGTCGTGGGTTCGATTCCCATCCCTTGACACTTTTTTGGGGGGTCGGTGGAAGGCTGGTTAAACTGTTTGGTTTTCGACCACTAGGACCCGGGTTCGATTCCCGCATTGGAAACTTTTTTTTTGTTTAGAAAAAAAAATGCTCCAATGGCCCCCTATTCTTGCAAAAGTCCAACCCCACCAGCGAGTGCAAATAACCAAACGGGGCTCTGGCATTTGTAAGTGCAAAGTCGAACTGCTTTTCACATGTGTAGACATGTGGTGCGCTTACAGTTAAAGCAGTCGCTAACTACCCACCATGATTATCATGGCCTGTACCACGTGTACTAGGGATAAGCAAAAAAAAAAAAAAAGGTGTTGTTTCTTATCCCCTTGTGCAAAGTTTATACACATTCCATGAGTTCATGCGCCTCGAGCTGTTTTATGATAAGCAGCGTCCTCTCCCAAAGGTCCTGTTTAGTACATCTAATGCAAGCCAAAATGTGTTCTGGAGCTGCAGGTGCTAACTACATTTTGGGCAAGTGGGGTAGATTTTGTTATTATTTTCTATCTTCAATGATTTGAGATTACCTGTTCTAAATCTTGTTAGTGTTGTTTGGTACTGTCTGAAGTTCAGAGCTCATCCTGGGTCCACTCTACTGTACTGTGCTTAGGTGGGATCCTCCAGTTCTTATTTATTTTTGTTTTGGCTACTATTTCTATTTCTTTTGAAAATAAGTTTATTATTCCACAGCCTCTTTGAGGAGAACCTTTAAACAAATAATCTACATGAAATTAAACATCTAACATTTATATGCGTCCCATACTAGGGTAATTATATAACAATTTTATCTGTGTAGACTGTGCACTTACAGTAAAAGAAGTCGTCTACTTCTACCCACTATGATTATTATGGCATGTATCAGATGTTGTGGTTGTTTCTTATCCCCTTGTGTAAAGATTACAAGAATTCCATGAGTTCATGATCTCATGGAATGGGGTATAGGGGTGCAGCTTTCGTTGATCATGATCCAGGCACACTTTGGTGAAAGTCTGACTTTGCCTGTAATTTGAGGCCATTCCTAACATGGAAGCCTTTGCTGATGACTCTAACATGAGTATAGACGCAGCTCCTCCGTATCCCTGGAGTGGGACCATTGCTGAGGTCCATCAACTGGGTCAGTTGAACTCAGGATTTTTAAACCATGTACTAGGGATAAGCAAAAAAATATATAATATAATGCGGCATGTGCTTGTAAAACGACATTTGAAAATTATCCCGCAAGTGTTTCTTTTCAATGAAAAATCAATCCCATCCCTTGACACTTTTATTTTTCCGTTCATCATTACTCTTCACAATTCATCCTTTCATACTTCAGCCCTAAGGTTAGAAATAATCGTTATTTCACCTTAAAATAAATTTTGATTTTTCATTGAAAAGAAACACTTGCGGGATAATTTTCAAATGTCGTTTTACAAAAAAATATATATATATATGTCATAATTTGTATAGTTAATGCCAAGAGATACAATTTATTTTCGTCAAAATAAGTATGTAAATATGTTACGCTTGCGTTAAAATGTAAATATGTAAATTCATCCATGTATAAAGGCGGCACAAAAAATAAAGTGGCAGACATCGCGGGCGCGCTGTTCGCTAGGCATATCGGCTGCGCCTCTTCATTTAGCTACGACATATATATATAACAAAATTTACACAAAAAGAAAATATTCTAATATGAACTGTGTGTGTCAGGTTTCAACAAGCCAGGCCGTGCTGGGCAGAGAGCCAATAATACAGGGTCTGACTCCCCCAGTTCCCCAGACCTGGGGACTCCTGATGGCATGGAGATGGAGGTTCCCCTGGAGGAGGGGGAGATTGGGGAGGAAGTAGAGTTGGAGGAAGGAGAGATCGAAGACTGACATCTCTCAAGTCCCTAGTCTTCTACACCATTACTGTATTTATTTTTTCTCTGGTTGCTGCAAGGTTTGACACAGCCATTTATTTCCCCCACACATAGAACATAATGTGTTCCCCCTGTACATTCCCCATCATCTACCCCTTACATCTCGGCAATGAAGTCTAAGAGAACATGATTGTGTGTTGTAAGTAAATTTTATAATTACTCTGATAGTTTTACTTTCTCCCAACACATATCTATCTTGTTGTTTATTCACCACAAATTCCATGAGTCCATGCTCCTTAAGCTATTTTATGATAAGCCTCTCCCAAAGGTCCGTGTGATAAGCAATGCAGAATGCAAATCAACATCTGATCTCAAGGAATGGGGTGTAGCTTTCGTTGATCGTGTCACCATGATCTAGGAACACTTTGGTGAAAGTCTGATTTTGCCTGTAATTTGAGGATGTTCCCAACATGAAAGCCTTTGAAATGAACCAGGCGATAAGGAAGATGGGTGTTTTTTTTTTATATAAAATGAGCACGAGCTTTCGGGTAAAAAAGACCCCCATCTTCCTTATCGCCTGGTTCATTTCAAAGTTTACTAGGAAGAGTTCTTTGCAATGAAAGCCTTTGCTGCCGACTCTAACATGAGTACAGACTCCTCCGTATTCTTGGAGAGGGACCCTTGCTGAGGTTTATCAACAGTACTCATCATCAGATAGACTTACATATCTATCTTGCTACTTAGCAATCACCTTTGTTGTAGAAGGAAAAGCATAAGAGCGATGAAGAAAAGTTTCTTATTTTTCTATAAATATTTGCTAGTGACACGTGGTACAGGCCATGATAATCATGGTGGGTAGTTAGCGACTGCTTTTACTGTAAGCGCACCACATGTCTACACATGTGAAAAGCAGTTTGACTAAAAAAATCTTCTATCTGAATTGGCTAAGTAAATCTCAAGTTATAACACTTATTCTAGGCCCTGGAAGTTTTCACTCCACATAACCAAATTGACTGCTGAGGGAAAGATCCAGGGGAGGAAACTGTCCAGACAAAGATGGCGAAAATATATGGATGACTTGAAACAATGGACTGGATGACATATATAAAAGAATATAAGGAAAGACTATGTGGCCCACCCTCAGTAGAGGAAGGCACTGAAGGAGGGAGATATGGAGAGACCATGTGGCCCACCCTCAGTAGAAGAAGGCACTGAAGGAGGGAGATATGGAGAGACCATGTGGCCCACCCTCAGTAGAGGAAGGCACTGAAGGAGGGAGATATGGAGAGACCATGTGGCCCACCCTAAGTAGAGGAAGGCATTGAAGGATGGAGATATGGAAAGACCATGTGGCCCACCCTCAGTAGAGGAAGGCATTGAAGGAGGGAGATATGGAGAGACCATGTGGCCCACCCTCAGTAGAGGAAGGCACTGAAGGAGGGAGATATGGAGAGACCATGTGGCCCACCCTCAGTAGAGGAAGGCATTGAAGGAGGGAGATATTGAGAGACCATGTGGCCCACCCTCAGTAGAGGAAGGCACTGAAGGAGGGAGATATGGAGAGACCATGTGGCCCACCCTCAGTAGAGGAAGGCACTGAAGGAGGGAGATATGGAGAGACCATATAGCCCACCCTCAGTAGAGGAAGGCACTGAAGGAGGGAGATATGGAGAGACCATGTGGCCCACCCTCAGTAGAGGAAGGCACTGAAGGAGGGAGATATGGAGAGACCATGTGGCCCACCCTCAGTAGAGGAAGGCATTGAAGGATGGAGATATGGAAAGACCATGTGGCCCACCCTCAGTAGAGGAAGGCACTGAAGGAGGGAGATATGGAGAGACCATGTGACCCATCCTCAGTAGAGGAAGGCACTGAAGGAGGGAGATATGGAGAGACCATGTGACCCATCCTCAGTAGAGAAGGCATTAAAGGAGGGAAGAATGGAGAGACCATGTGGCCCACCCTCAGTAGAGGAAGGCACTGAAGGAGGGAGATATGAAGAGACCATGTGGCCCACCCTCAGTAGAGGAAGGCACTGAAGGAGGGAGATATGGAGAGACCATATAGCCCACCCTCAGTAGAGGAAGGCACTGAAGGAGGGAGATATGGAGAGACCATGTGGCCCACCCTCAGTAGAGGAAGGCACTGAAGGAGGGAGATATGGAGAGACCATGTGGCCCACCCTCAGTAGAGGAAGGCACTGAAGGAGGGAGATATGGAGAGACCATATAGCCCACCCTCAGTAGAGGAAGGCACTGAAGGAGGGAGATATGGAGAGACCATGTGGCCCACCCTCAGTAGAGGAAGGCACTGAAGGAGGGAGATATGGAGAGACCATATAGCCCACCCTCAGTAGAGGAAGGCACTGAAGGAGGGAGATATGGAGAGACCATGTGGCCCACCCTCAGTAGAGGAAGGCACTGAAGGAGGGAGATATGGAGAGACCATGTGGCCCACCCTCAGTAGAGGAAGGTACTGAAGGAAGAAGATATGGAGAGACCATGTGGCCTATTCTCAGTAGTGAAAAAATAGTACAAATGTGATATTGTACTGGGATAAGGTGCATAAATTATGAAAAAGAAAAAGGCATCTCCTTATCGTGCAACTTTCACATTTGTGCACACTTGTTTCACACTTGCACATTTGTGCAACTTTCAGTTGCATGATAAAGAGATGCCTTTTCTTTTTTCATAATTTTTTTTACTTTGTTCTTATGCTTTCCAATATACATCTATTTACAGATACACTAGCTGGTTAGTTGGAGAAGATCTACTGAGATTTCTGGTTGAATTATTGTGGGTTTTAATGGTAGAGAAAGCCCCAATAAACACTGTTCTGTACACTCCTTTGTAGTTAATCACATCGGCTGTGTCTCGGAGATTGGAATGGAGTATGTGATGATTTTTTTTTTTAATTATCTCTAGTACAAGTGGTACAGGCCATGATAATCACGGTGGGTAGTTAGCGACTGCTTTTACTGTAAGTGCACCACATGTCTACACATGTGAAAAGCAGTTCGACTTTGCACTTACAAATATGCCAGAGCCCCGTTTGGTTACTTGCACTCGCTGGTGGGGTTGGACTTTTGCAAGAATCGGGGGCCATTGGAGCATATTTTTTTTTTTAAATCAGAAAAAAGTGTCCAA